TGTCATAATAGCAGGGAAATACGCATTTAAACCAAAGAGATTATTTTAATGGGATTTAGAAATGGTAAAATAATTAGAATCTAAAGGAAGGTCTTTCAGGTACAGGGAAATTAGAAGGACCGCCTAAAGATTATGTATATTATAACAGTTATGGGAATGCTAACTGGCATGGAAAGTAGCAATATAGCAAGTGTAATGATGGTGATTAAGGAAAAAGAAAAGTACTAGTTACTCAAGGATCCAAAGCAGCTACATTTTTTTCTTTACAGAAAATAAAAATATATTCATAGATTTTACTGGACGTTGACACACACAAATAAAATGCACTTTATCTTTTTGTACATACATACAATGCGCAAACAATTTTTATATGGACAAAGATACATACACATATATATACATATATACATACATACACATAATACATACATACACTCATATGTGTATGTATATGTAATGTACATACATACATACATATATATATATATATATATATATATATATATTATATATATATATATATTTTTGCAAGAGGTCTTTACTTGTATATATACATACATATTTGTATGTATATATGCATGTATGTATATGTATTTATGAATATGCTGTATACATAAAGTAGAATATAACAGTACCACATACACGTGCGTCTGTTTGTAGACAGTTGTATACAAAGAAACAAAAGTGTGTGCCTGCGAAGAAAATCCACAATTAGGCCTCTAAATTGTGGTTGGAAATCTCAACAGGAAAGGTTACATCGCTCCAGCCACAAAAGCGCTCTTCTTGTTCCTCATTAGGGAGGAGCTTTACTCGCTCCAGCTATATAAGGAGATGAAACCACTCTAACTGCGTCAAATATTCTATCATCGTCAGACAATATGGCACTTCAGGTGAGCTGCAAAAAGACGACTTTGTGTGTTAGAGATGTTACAGTGAATATGTGCCAAAGATATGCCTTTTGTTTATGGTTCAGCCATATGAAAAATCTGAATAATCATAAGAGTATTATAGAAGACATTCGTGTTATTCTACTTTTTCTCCAGTAGTGTTAAATTTTCCCCATTTTGTAGGCAATTATACTCGCCGCTCTTGTGGCCGTTGCCTCGCACGTCCTGAAAACACACCATCCTATGGTTATGGTGCCACAACGCCCTCTTCAGGACCTGCCAAGTACGACTTCAACTACGCCGTCAACGACCCACCATCTGGCAACGACTTCGGTCATCAGGAGGCCCGAGATGGCCCCAACACTCAGGGTTCCTACTACGTCCTCCTTCCGACGGTCGCCTCAGAAGGTCGCCTACACCGTCAACGGCGACTCTGGTTACGTGGCCGATGTCACCTACGAGGGTGATGCCTCCACACCACGCCCCTATACACCCGCCCCTCATTATGCTTAAACATACTTTTATTTAGCAAATAATGTCCGTAGATATGTATAAATAAGTTAATAAACTAGCATAGTAATGGTGTCTTCTCATTGCATATCAAATACAATCAGTGTAAAGGTATTTGTCTGTATAAAAAGGAAGAGAACATATGAGTTTGAGCAGATGTTGGTTATCCAGAGAAAGTTTATATGTGACATCAAAAAAGGATAAATATTTCCATTTCAATCATTATCCCTTTTATTGTAATTGTCGTTTTCATTGTGATTATTGTCAATATAATCTGAAATGATTTTATTATGTACAATATTCATCTTCAAAACCAAACACCGAGTTTAGAAGAAATAGTAATGATAACTGAGGACACAGGTATTGGACCTACAGAGGTCATTAGCTGTATCCCCTTTCATAGTCCTTGTTGCTTTCTTTATTATCAATGTCAATATAGATGTAATGAAAATGATATTGCTATAATTTTTATCGTCGTATCGAAACACAAGCATTAGGAAAATTATTGCCCGTGAAAAGAGTAAAAATAGTGATAAAATCAGCCAAAAGAATTTTAAATTAGTAATGAAGAGTCTTATGATGATATTTATTGCTTGGAATTGCTGTTGACAGATGGAAATACATATATAGTAATGCACAGAAAAGGAGAATCTCAAGAACTAACAAACCAAAATCGACAAAGCCTGGAGGAAAAGGATTACAGAATATGCGCGAAGCTTTGGTGATAATAATCATAATTAGTTCAGTAAGTAAAGCACCTTACACATAAATGAAAATCTATGGCGACAAAATTGCGAAACGAGAATTTCTAATATTCAGGAGATTCGGGGTATAAGCAAACGAAAAACTATATAATCATGAGATCGAGGGTGCTTAATTCTGTCCAACAATTGTAATATAGCTGAAAATTTCACATGTATAACACATTTGATATCGCTTACTGGGAGATGTTTAATCATTATTAAGCAGGTAATAATTGCCAGTGCATTCTGCTTTGAAAATATATTAAGTCAGGATTTACCGAGATAAAAATAAAAATCAGTAAAGATGAATATATAGTTCCTTTAGAAATCTGGACACTTGTTAGACCATGTCCGTGAAATGACAGGAGACCAGATCAGATTGTCATAATAGCAGGAAATATTTAATTTTATTAATAAGGATTATTTTTACATGGATTTTAGAAATGGTAAATAATTAGAATCTAAAGGAAGGTCTTTCAGGTACAGGGAAATTAGAAGGACCGCCTAAAGATTATGTATATTATAACAGTTATGGGAATGCTAACTGGCATGGAAAGTAACAATATAGCAAGGATAATGATGGTGATTAAGGAAAAAAAAAAAGTACTAGTTACTCAAGGATCCAAAGCAGCTACATTTTTTCTTTACAGAAAATAAAATATATTCATAGATTTTACTGTACGTTGACACACACAAATATAATGCACTTTATCTTTTTGTACATACATACAATGCGCAAACAATTTTATATGGACAAAGATACATACACATAATTATACATATAATACATGCATACATATACATACATACATACACCATAATGTGTATGGTATATGTATAGTATACCATACATATAATACATACATAATTATATATATATATATATATATATATATAGTTTTTGCAAGAGGTCTTTTACTTATATATATATACATACATATGTGTATGCATATATAATGCATGTATTATAGTATTTATGAATATGCCTGTATACATAAATAACGAAATAAATATACAGTACCACATACACGTGCGTCTGTTTGTAGACAGTTGTATACAAAGAAACAAAAAGTGTGTGCCTGAAAAAAAAAAAAAAAAAAATCCACAATTAGGCCTCTAAATTGTGGTTGGAAATCTCAACAGGAAAGGTTACATCGCTCCAGCCACAAAAGCGCTCTTCTTGTTCCTCATTAGGGAGG